TTGGCTGTTGGTTTTGTTTTTCAAGACAAGGTTTCTCTGTGTAGCCCTGGCTGTCCTGGAACTCACTTTGTTGACCACGCTGGCCTCGAACTCAGAGAGATGTACCTGCTTCTGCTTCCCAAAGGCGTGCACCACCATACCCAGCTCCAAAGGAGGTTTTTCTGGAGAAGAAACTGGTATCAGGACAGAGAGGATCTACAAGAAGATGTCACTCCACTCTGCATGGCGAAACAATTCTGTATCATCTCTACCACACTTGAACCACTACTGTTTGGTTTTGCTCAGATGGGGACCCTGCAACAGATACCAAGCACCCCTCTTTTTTGGAACCTTGAATAAGCAGGCCAGCCTGGCTTTTTCATCTGCACCCCTCTTCTTTGCAAGCTAGCTGAGAGCCCACCCCATCCTTCCTGTTCTTCCTTCAGATGAAATAGGAGGTAGGGTTCCTGTCTTTTTTACAACAGTTTATGACCAGAAAAGAAGGCAATCAAGTGCCAGAAACCCAGAGGGCGTCCCCTTACTGCAAAAGCAAGCACTCTGCATCACAGACTCTGGCTAACCAAGGTCTAGGCCTCAACCCCAGATGTCATAGTTTCTTTGCAATGTAAACCTTTGACTGGGGAATTCAGAACCACAGGTTTACAAATCAGAGGATGAGGCTGGAGACTCAGCTCACTCTGAAACCTGAGGCCTGGCTATCTCAAAGGACATTTAGAAACCAGAGACTCACAGCTGTCAAGTCTGAGCAACAAGCAATCCCTAACATTTCCCAGGGACTAGAGCAGCCCACCTTGGGCTTTGGCCAGAGCCCTGACAGGGACTCTCACTCACAGACTTTGTGGCTACTCTAAAGCCCCAGGAACCAGGCTCACTTAGGATTAGTAAGGCTGATACCAGTTCATATTTGGCCACACAGGGCCTCAAAGGTAGCAAAGGGGGGAAATTAGTTCTAGTATTTCACTTGCAAATCCTAGCAGGGGTATGAGTTGAGAGTAAGAGACTTTGCTTGCTGTCCCTGAGGTCATGAAAGTTAAGCAAATGAAGACATTTGCATGACAGCCCTGGTCTCTAATGATAATTTACCATACACAAGTTCTACTACCCCAGGACCCCTCCTGAAATCCCACAGCTTTGACAGTTGTAAGACTTCCAGGTCAAAGCTTTGGATAGTAACTTAGCTTCATAGTAATTCTCTAAAGAACACGTGTAAATGTCCAGGTAAGCTTAGCTTTGAGATGTACAAAAGGTGGGAAGCTTGTGCACATTGACTTTACCACTCGTTCCAAGGTGGCTCCCAAAGTCTTCCTATCTACTGACAAGATTTGCACATCAAGGCACATGGAAAACATCAAAGACCCATGGTAGCTAAGGCAGCCCTCAGGGACTACTCTTCCCAGTGTTCCAAAAATGGCTCAATTTCATGCAAAGCCAGCTTTTTCTAGTGATTCACAAAATGTCTAACTAAAAGTTACCTCAGACAAAGGTATCATCATGCAGTTTTTCATTATTGAATATTAATGAACTGAAAAATGAATGGGGAAATCCCTATTCAAGTATGTTCCCAATTTTTGGTTGTGGACAGCAGACACTTGAGAATGAAGGAGGCTAAAGGAGTACGAAAGAGATGCAGGCGCCTTCCCACTGAAAGGGGCAAGCCAGTCTTCGGTGGACAGTGTCCACAGGCCTAACCATCAAACAAAAACGCTGAGTAGACAGCAGCTGAGAAAAAAAAAAAAAAGAAGGCCTGGCTCAGCAGAGAGACAGAGACCAGTGAGAGCTCACAATACTATTCCCTCATTTCTACCAGAGTCCCCTATGAGTATCAACGCTAAGGGCCATAGGGAAGCTCTCCCAGGACTCTGATAGCAGCTGCTTCTCTGAAGGCAGCATAGTCGACCCCTGCCTTGGTGACACCTGTCCACTCCTCAGAACCCACTGCCAATATGTCTGCATGTTTCCACGAGGTATTGTCACCAAGGGGGACCAAAGGTGACATCCATACTCAATGGTGGCTGATCACCACCACTGATCCTAAAGCAAAGGAAATGACACTAACCTCCAAACTCAAAAACTGCTCCCCACATTCAAAGTTCTTACTTAACGCTGACATACCACAAAGCAAGGATATGAAGGCTTTATCCATTTCCAGCTTTATCCACGCCACTCGCTAATCTCTCCCGTCTCAAAATTTCTAAGACCCTGAAAGGCTGAGGAAAGGTAGCATGTAAAAGTGGACAGTGTAGCCCTCGCCAACTGCAATAGTTCCTAAGCGTCCCGGCATGTAAGGGCGGCACACACACTTGGCTCTGTGAAGCTCCCCAGGGCAGAGTCTGGCTTTACGCTCTCCCTCTCTCTCAGTATGGGGCATACTGAAGTGCCTGGATATTAAATGTAGTAGGAAACCTCTATATGCTAGCCCCAACTCAGTGCAGGGTGAGGGTGAAACGATCTCAGTGATAGGTCCCTGGAGCTAAAGCCTGATGTCCCTTCTAAAAAGCAGCTTTTCCCAAACTCAGGCTCACGTAAGATAGCCAGGCACCTAACTGTGGGCTTGGTGAGGCAGATCCAGGAAGGGGTTGTGTCATCCAGGGTGGGGACAGAGGCTGCTCCCCAGACCTCTGTGCCTTCACTCAACCCCACATGTAACAATATCCAGTGGTTTGCTTACACTCATGGTGGGGTGGCCACTTTCCCTAACCTCCTCCCTTGAATAACTGAATTTTCACACTTTTCAAAGGCTCCACCTATGACTTACCCACTCAGGCCCACACATGTGCTCTCTTGCCAATCACAGCCCTCTGTCTTCCTATCTCCAACACAACCAAAAGAAAACCCTAGCTACCTGCTTACCAAGCCAAGCCCAGGGCAGACTTAACCCTCAGCAGGGACTAGAGGAGCAGGACACAGACCCAACCTAGACCCCTGGCCCTGCTTAGTGGAGCAGCCCCTAGAAGGAGGACCTATGCTCATACAAAGCCACCCTGGCGGGGCACTACAGAAAACATTAAATCTGTGGTCTCCTAAAACCCTCACAACACCCCCAGGACTTAGAATATCCTCAGGGGACACAATCTAATTGCTTCCCTTACTCCCAAAGGACTTATGTATTTTGAAGGAGCCCTAACAGCAGAAGCAGAAAACCCAACCAGCTGTGTGATCTCAGACAAAGCCCATCTATGAACCCAAATCTTTTCAGATAAAGGAAAAGAAGATGGCTACCTAGAAGGACTTACAAGAATCAACCCAGCATCAGCATTTCACTCAGTAAGCACCCAAGGATGCCAAGAATTCCCCCTTGATATCTTTGAGAAATATACCCAGCCTGTTTACTACCCCCAACCTCATAATATCATCACGGGTTGGCTGAGTTGGACAAAGAAGGGCTACAGAGCACGTACCAGGGCCAACAGACTGTTTCCTCTATTCCAGCTGACCCACATCCAATGGCTCACAATCACTTGTAACCCAGCTTCAAGGGATCTGACACCCTCTTCAGGCATCCATGGATATCTCTAAATATATTCCATATATTAACAGTCACACAGAAATTCCAAAACCAAACAAACAAACAAACACAAAAAACACCCTGCAGTTAGTGGTAGGGAATCTGAGGACCATGGGGAGAGGGAGAAGAGAGCAGGACAGAGGCATGGCCAGACCTTTTTTAGTCATTTTCCTTAGAAGCTAACATTAGACCTTGTAAGATGGACTGAGAAGGAGGCAAAACGCAGGGTTGATTAGTACTGGTGCCCTAAGATGAGGAAGCTGTAAGACAGTCCTCTGTGGCAGAACACTACCTCCCAAAGAAACACACTCTGTTCTGGTCTAGTATATATGTCATTGTCCGTAGCATAAAGGACTTTGCATATGGGAGCAAGGTGAAGGCTTTAAGCAATAGGCTACCTGGACTAGCCCAATCTCAGGGAAATCATTTCCTCAGGGAAGTCCCTTAGGCTGTGTTGTCAGGGAGGTGACAACACAAGGATAGGAGAGGTATAAAGTGGCTGGCATCAAAGACAGAGAGTGGGGACCCAAGCCAAGGAATGAGGCAAAACAGAGTATGGCCCTGCAGAGCCCTAAAAGTACACTGAGGCCCTAGCACGCTTCTCACCCACATAACCAGCAAGTGACATCCATGTCCGTGCCACTGCATTTATCACAGCCACAACAGGGACCCGCTCAAGCCTGCCACAAAGATGGCAGGCTTCTGACAACTTTCCTTCTACAGCCCTCCTTCCTCCCCCACCCTGGACCCATCACTCTGGGTCCCTTAGAAGTGCAGGCAGAGTTCTTTAAAAGCAGAAATACCTGCTGGGTGATTCTCAGCAGTGCTCAAGGTGAATGCTCTTAGGTTGAGCAGCAGAGACAAGATCCCTTTGATGGCTAGGCTATCAGGCAAGTGCATCTTCCAGAGAGAAGGCTGGTAGAAGACAGAACACTCCAGGCCCCAAGAACCTGGGTTCTAACCCAAACCAACAGCTGTGTGACTATAGGCACGGTGCCTCCCCTTCAGGGTTTGTAAACTCACAAAGCCAAGCTAACTAGTCATGCTGCCCCTGCCTTTCTCCCGGGACTGGAAACAAAAGCAGTAGAGTCAGCAAACCAGCTTCTACGCTAGGCTCTGCCAAGGAAACTCAGTTCATCACAGGGTTTCTTTGGAGGCTGGGTCACTGCATAACTCAAGGCACTTTTGTTTCTCCCTGACCTGTACTGCCCCCTCCTGGAATTCTAAGGTACTATGCCACCCTATTTTCCTAGTCATAAGATTAGAACCCTTCATCACAGGCTCCAAGGGAGATCAGCTCATTGTCACAGGCCCTCAACAAAGAGGGGCTGATCCCATGCTCATCCATCCAGAAGGCCCTCTTCTCCCCCAACCCCCACACCCAGGGCATAGGGCTCTGCTACCCATCACAGAAAACCCCTTATCCACAGGCTGGAAGAGTGAGGTAAGTAAGTGGTCACAGGCCTGCGCCCCAGGAAGGAAGAAAATGAAAAACTTTTAACTATTAAATTTGTTTAGTAAAGACAATTTTGCTCATACAAAACAACAGTTTACAACAGTCTGAGTGCTGAACACACCATCAAAGACAAGGGAGGAGCTGCAGACATCTGGGCCCTGCCCCAAGGCCCAGAGATGCCCAGGAGCCCCTCCTCCACCAACCCCTGAGGGAGCCACCCCTCCTCCAGTAGGAGGGGCATGGGGGACCATGGCACAAAGACTCTTCCCCACCTGCTCCTCCTCAATCCTGGGGAGCCCCCACCCAGGCGGAGTAGTTAGAGGGTAAGGTGGCTAGTGGGCAGAGACAGAGTCAATACATCTTTGGTGCGAAGACTGTCCCACCCACCAGGCCACGTGGTGGAAATTCAGGAAGACCACTTGTGGTCCTGCCCTTGCCAAAGGGAGGTCGGCAGGTACCCTAGAGATCAGGGGAGATGCATGAAATGCAAATGCCTTTCCAGGCATAGAACCTTCCCAGGCTCACCCATGGGAGCAGAGAGTCAGCCATTGAGAAATGACTAAAAATTTCAGAGAACTCAACAAGAGTGGGTTAATAATGGCAAGAAGGGCAAGCAGAGGCTACTCAGTGGATCAGTGCCTCAGAGACCTAGAACCAGCACTAGTTTAGGGAAAGGTGTCCTGAGGGGACCAGTCCTAATGGCTGCCCAGTGCCCATGCACCCCTCCCTGCCTCCCCTGCCCAGCTAACACAGAGGCTATGACTACCTGGCTCTAGATCTAGACTATGCTACCTAGGAGTTTAGGCAGGCTCAGTTTAAGCAGGATTCCCTGCAGCCCTGCCTTCCCTAGACCTTCCCAAGCCTGGTCACTGGCGTGGACCCAGGCATACAAACATGTACACAAACATATCCCTCTCTTGTGCACACTGGTGATGGCTAAGGGTCTCGGCAGAAGGCAAATAATGGCCGCTCCTTCCCCCTCTCCCTGGAGCTCCAACATTCTAGCGCCTGGGAACCTCAGGTTATAGTAGGAGGCCAGGGAGGACAGATGGAACGGACAACCCAGGGACATTTTCTGTAACAACCTCTACAACACCCTTGGGTAAGCCCCAGCATTTGCAGATGGGAAAACCTGGTGAAAGGTTGAGGAGTGAGGAAAAAGACAACAAAAAAGATTCCATAAAAATTCTACGCCAAATTACAGATAAAATGCAAAAGGAGCATGGGCTCAAGAGCACCTCACCCCTCCTCACACATCCTCCAGCCTCCATCTCTGGAGAGGCCAGAGCCAAAGGCAGAATTACGCTGGAGGCATTTCTGGGCTCCACGAAGCCCAGGAGAACAGGAGGCAGCAGTGGGCAACTTGTGTCTCTTTGTTTAAAAAATATATTCATGTAGTTATTGCTTGTCCTCCAGTGGGGTGGGAGACACAGCGGCTCAGTGAGCAAGGGCCGCAGCCTCAACGGCACGGGCTTTCTTCCGCCTCTTCAGAAGCAGAGGGTTGGATGCATCTTCTATCTTCTTTATCTTGATCTGTTCATAGTCAACACGCATCGTGGCCAAGGCACTGGTCATCTCCTCCTGGGAGCAGGGTCGGGATTATGCAGCAGGCAAAGAGGGCAGAAAAAGATATAAGCAGTGAGAGACACACAGGCAAGGCGGGAAAAGGGCACAGTGAGGACAGGCCAGTTGTGGGTCCACACTGCTGATAGCAGCATCCCCAGTACTAGGTCAGCACAGGCTGGCCACTGTGTAGCTATTCTCCCAGAAACCCTCTGACAAGCCCACAAAAGGGGAAAGAGCCCTAGTCCAGCCATCCTGTCTGGGGATTTAATGCCCTCATCTGAAAACTGAGGAGATAGTACCTGATGCCCTTTCCGGTCACACTAGAGCTTCAGGGAGAGAAGGGCTCATGAGAAAGAGACAGTAGAGTCTGGCCACAACTTTGCCACAAGCCAGGGAAAGCAATGGCTCCCAGTCGTCTTTTTATTGCTGTGGAGATACTGGGATGAAGTAGACAGACCCAAACAGTCTTCGGCCATCACTCATGCTGGGGACTTTGTCTACGTTGCCTCCCTGAGCTCTCTCACTCAGTTGTGCCCCTCACCTTGACATCCTCCCATCGTTCCTTGTCCTCCTTTAGGACACGGCTGGTGTGCAGTGGAGTCTGAGGGACCTTCGTAGATTGCTGAGGAGAGAAATGGGATCGAGTGGCACTCTGGGGCAGTAAAGTCCTGGTGAAGACACCATACTGAGCAACAGTCCCTTGCACCCAGGTGTTCCCAGCCCACAAAGCTTACCATGATCCATGGGTGGTTCATAAATTCTGTGATGGTCATTCTCTGGGTGGGCTCTGTTTTCAGCAGATTCCGGATAAGCATCTTCACTATGGGGTGAGAAGGCAGAGGACACAACAGCTCAGAGGACTGGACAGCTCGGCGGACAGAGACAGCCAGCTCAGGGGGCAGGACAGCCAGGGGACAGAACAGCTCAGGGGACAAGGATGGCTCAGGAGCTATACTTTCTCTGCACTCTCCTGCATTAATCAGTTCAAAAGGGACTACATGGAGGCAGCTACCCAAGAAGCAGTGACTCCAAGGACCAACATGCTAAAGCACTGGAAAAGCCCTACACAGATAGCTCTGACCCTGCCTCAGGTCCTTCACAGAAGCAAAAGATTCCAAGGAAAAGAAGCACAGGCACCATGTGAGATAAACACCTACACCTACATTCACGCACACTCCCGGAAGGCTGGTTCCTACCTTCTTCTGATACTTCTGACCATTCTGGGTTAGGAAATTCATACTGGCCCATTCGAATACGAGTCTTCATGCCCGGAGAGATGGCAAGGCCATGATTGGAATAGAAGGGGGGATACCCACAGAGCCTAAGGAACAGAAGGGCAAAGTAGGTGTTATTTAGGAACCCTGCACCAAGAATTGGGTGAGAAACAGGCTCTTCTTGTAATAGTCATAGAAAAATAGGAAACTGCTGATAAAGACACAGCACAACTCAGAAGTCTAATGTGCCAAGAATGTCAACTAAATGGCCTAGCCCATTAGCTAGTTTCTACCACCACTTAGGAACCAGAAGCCACTAAGCATCAAGTGAAGGAGTGGTACAGGGGATTCCCAGGGAATACCCCACCCAAAGGGGAAATCCTAATGCCTGCCTCTTCCTCTTGTCCTGTAGATGGACAAGCTTCCCCAGCTCCCTAATGCACTGCATCCCACGCCCCAATCCACTTACAGAATATACATGATGACACCCAAGGACCACATGTCACAGGACTTGTCATACTTCTCTGGGCCCAGCACTTCCGGAGCTGCAAAGCAAAGATCACTGTAGATTGTCCTGGCTCTTTGAATCCTGAGACCTACCCCGTTTCAGAGTTCTTCACCCCATCATGACGGAAGAGCAGCTGGAGCAGGAGGGGTTAAGTAGAAGCCCCTCCCCGAGAAGGGACCCTGCAGCTGGAAGCTGAGGTGAAAATACTGCTGAACTGCTGACAACTTACAGTCGCATGCTGCCCACAAACATGCTTTGAGAGTTCATTCTATTATGTCCGCAGATACTTCAGAACAAAATCAGAATTCCCAGGCTCCACAGAGAATGTAACAGAAACTATGGCTCTCCTCAGGAAGAGAACACAGACACCCAATTCTGCCCTAAGCCCTGCAGACTATTTCTATAACCCTCGGTCACAGCTGACCTCTGGCAGTCTACTTATGGTAGGGTCCCAACATGCCTAGGACCTATGGTCTCCTGAGACAAGCAGAACAAGGGGCTGGGGCAGAGCCTTGGGTAAAGACTCAATCCCTGGGCCTCCCCTGAACTCACCCACATAGTATGGTGTGTAACACGGAGTGGTCAGAGAATTGTGACTGGTGGTTTCCTTGGCAAAGCCAAAATCAGTGAGTTTCAGAATGGCATTGGGCCTTTTGGAAGTATATAAGAGGTTTTCAGGCTGGAGAGAGAGAGAGAGAGATGAGTAAGTAACAACCCTGCGGAAATGCTGAGAAACCCAAGTGGAAGGATTATGCATTCCCTTATGGAACCAACACCCATCCATCCAGTCCCTCTGCACTGTACACAATGAGGACGGAGTGAGAACAAAGGAGGAGGGCATGGAGTGAGGTACCTTGCTGCCTCAGAAAGCTGTATGGGACAGTGAGATGCTGATGAGGAGACCCACCTCATTATTTTGGAGCGCAGCCAAAGAGGGCTTCATTACTAAGTTTGTGGGTCCCACTGTTCCAGAATCCCACAGGCCACAGACTGGGCCACAGACCCACCCTGCTCCAAGGAACCAGGCAACCAGGGAACCAGGCAAGGGGAATCCCACTGTCCCATCCATCCTCACAGCTCATGGGGTATAAATAGGTGGTACCTTAACATCCCGATGAGCAATGTTGATAGAGTGCAAATACTGGATGGCCTCACCGATGCTCTTCATGATTTCTGATGCTTCTGAGGAGAAGAGAGAAAAACACAAGCTAGAAGTCTGAAAGCTCTATACACCAGCCTGCCAATGCAGCCTCAGTCTCCTATCAACTCATAGAGACACAAGGAGCTAGAAGCTGGCCCACAGCTGAGGAAGAGAGATACTCCCAGAAGTGAGCCTGAGAAGGCAGCATCTGTGACCTCTCCTGTAAGCAGGTCCTGCAAAGGATCTACAGTTGCCTACTGCCCTGTCCACCCAAAGCTATCCCCACAGCAGACCCTCTACCTCTTTCTGTGAATGCCTGGTCTCCTCGGTCCTGGATCCGACTGAAAAGCTCTCCACCATCGAGACTAGAAAAAAAGGCACAGTAAAAGACCTGGCAACCAGCAAATGCCCCCCCACCCCGCACCGCACTCCACTGCCCCCAAAGAAAGTTGGACACTGGTATTCCAAGTTTCAAGATCCACAGTGGGCTGTACCCAGAGGCAGGAGGCACCTCAGTGTGGCATGGGGATAGGTGGGGCGGAACCCAGCAGGCTGCTTACCACTCCATGACAATCAGCAGACACTTCCTCCCAGCATACAGGTTCTCATAGACATCCACAATGTGCACAATGTGCGGGCACTGGGAGGCCCTCCAGTGCAGTTCCACCTCTCTGCGAGCCTTAGGACAGTCCTGGAGCATCTGCAAGACCAGCAAGTCCTGAGTGACACAAGTCTACAGAAAATGGCTAACGACCCCCGCCCCAGGCTTGTCGGAGGCCTGTGCCCACATGTCAGCTTTCCCAGCAACACGACAAATGTTATTTCCCAGGTAAAGGCCACTTCCGTGGCATCTTCCCCAGTCTCTCCTGCTCTAGGACCCTAGATGACTCTGCAGCAACTTTAACCACTCAACACAAAACTCAACTTGACCTCTCCAGAACCTGGACAGCAAGGCTGAGACAACTCTCATTCTCAACAGGCAGCAAGGCCTCCTATCAGCTAACAGCATGAAGTCTATGGGCAGCAGTCGAGTACTGGAAAACAGTGTCCCATGGAGACAGACTGAAAAGAACCACTACAAGAAAAGAGATAAATTCCAGAATCAGCAGGGACAGAAACCAAAATCACCCAAAACCTATAGCAGATTCAGGTAGATGGCCTCTGGAGTCAGCCAGGTACTGGTCGGAGCCCTGGAGTTTACCACATCTGCAGTCTTGAGTAAGCTGTGCAACTCAGTCAGTGGGCCGCCTTCCCAGCCCTGCTTCTTTCCTAGACCAGGTGTCCAGGTGCGTGCAGTAAAGCTGGACCCTCAGCAGACTATAAGGCTGGATTCTGTTCGGTCTAAATCAGCTCACTGATTTCCATCCTTTTGCTACTGGCTAGCTTAGGAACAAGCCTAGGATCCAAATGGCCCAGAAGAACTCTGAAGGCAATTTACTGAGAGACAATCACAAAAAAAGCACACAGGGAAAAAAAAAAAACACTATCTCTCCTGCACCTGGCAGGTAGGAGCATACTGTCACCATGCTGCCAGTAAAAGGACAGGCCTAAGGCTACAGAGTAGTACACTGAGAGAAGCAAATGAAAAACAGCAACCCCCTGAAACATCACCAAACATCCCATTTCCTGCCAGGCACACCTACAATGCCAGCAACTAGGAGACCAGGCAAGACAGCAAGAGTTCAAGGTCAATGTTGGTTCCAATTAATCCAAAGCAAGTCTGAGCTATGTGAGACGCTGCCTCCAAAACAAAACAAAACAACAACAACAAACAAGAATAATTTCCTGATTGCATAAACTCTTTTAGTAGAATTCCATTGCTGGAATCAAAGTCATCCTAACACACCTCTGCTTTGTACAAAGGAGTAGCCGCTTTTGCTCACAGATACGCTATGAGGACTTAAACTGTGCTCGGTACTAATAGCTATCATTTTTACTGACATGCCTGCCCAGTGCAGGCCACAGATGCCAAAATCCTTACGTCACAGACCCGCACAGATTTGCCAATACATCACTCTTCCAACAGTTCTGAACATTTTGTAGGCTGAGCTGGTGAGGAAACAGGGCAGAGAGCAACCAGACAGGCAGGCAGTAGGAAGGCATCCAGGCATGTGATAAGGTGAGGACTGGGCACTGACAAACATGAGGTCAATTCGGCTGAGCAGATAAGCAGGGAGGGCCGAGGGGATAGCTGAAGTCTGGTAACTGGTATCAGACAGCCAAAGGCAAGCAGAGGACTCTTCAACAATAAAGCTAACATGCTTTTATGATGTGGTCATGCTGAACCATTTCAGAGAAGTAGCCTGTCCAAGGCTAAGCTAAGAAGACAGCTATGGTCTGAATCAGGCTTGACAGATGCCAAATTCCAATTCCTTCCACCCTAATGCCCAAAGCCTAAGAGAAGGCTAGAGGCTGAACCTTCTCAGAGTGGCTTCAAAGAGTCAGCTTCCCAAGCTGAAGCCCACAAAGAATCAAGCAGACAGCTACCTCCCAAGTCAGTAAGCAGGATGCAAGCTTCCCCACTGTGTCACACTACCACCTTGTGGTCAAATGAGGACATGGCACAAGCTCTGTATTTCGGGGTTTGCTGTGGGGCATGTATTTTTACTTTCCCATGCTGTAGGAGGAACAGAAAGAGACACTGGCCACTTCCATGTGCATGTAATTCAATTCAAGTAGTGACTGAACTACGAGAGGCCACACATGGTATTAAATGTCAAAACTCAATGAGACTGACAATCTGAATGTTCAGACTAGTACAGAAGTGAGAAGAGATACAGAGATGGGCACTGGAAGTACTTATAATTCAATTCTCTCGTTCATGCTCCATCACAGTGTAGAATGAAGTAAAAAGAATCCCATGGGCAAACTCACACCCTCACACCCTCAAACCCTGCCTCCACATCTGGCAGCAGGAGCTATCAGAGATGAGCAGCTAGGCAACCAAGGTAAAGCAGGTTCCTGGCCAGGCCCCTGTGTTTTCCAGAGCCAAGTGCATCACTAGATCCATGTATGTCAAACACTCAGCCCCACCTCCCACCCCTGTACAGGCCACAAGGCCAAAGTAGACAAAATCCTAAAGATGGCAGATGGTACAGGCAAGTGTGCTGAGGAAAATCAATCCTCAGGCTAGCCACTCGGTTTGGGTTCCAGGAACATAACTGTTTTAGAATCAAACAAGACCCAAGCATGGTAGCCACAGCCTGAATTCGTTCATGGCACTGGGTGGGCCAAGTTTCCCCTCAGAGACAGGAGGGTGGGACAGACAGTGTTAGGGTCAAAAACAATCAGCAGAGGAAGGTGTGTGCAGTTCCAGCTTAAGCAGGACAAATTAATTTCCAGTAGTGTCACACACCCATAATCCCAGTACTCATGGCTAAGCAGGCGTTCTCCACCAGCCTGGGCAATACAGCAAGGCCAGGCCAGCCTGGGCTACACAAGGAGACCTTATTACAAACACAACAAAAACAACCAAGAAGCTCTACTTAGGATACTCTTCTCTTAATCTAAAATGAACCCTTTTCATACTGATGCCTTCTCTCTACAACCCAAGTTTCAAACAGGTGAAATAAGATTTGATTTTTTTCAAATCCCTCCTTCTCTCTTTCTGCAGCTAGTACTAAATGTATTTTCTAGTTCTCCCCTACAGAAAAAAGGGTACTGGGGGTGTACCCTTTTCCAACTCTACTTTTATAGTGACAATTTTGGATCCTTTAAAACACAGAAATATTGTTAAGAATATGTTTTCATTTTAATCCCAAGTGTGGGGATATGGGGCTGCTTCAAAGCATCTATGATTTGATTTGCCTCGTGCTCTGGCAAGGGCATGATTTTCCCAGCTGCAGACAGTTTCTGCAATTGTGTTAACATTTGGAATTCTGGGGACTTTTCAGAGAATATACAGATGCTAGGGCCCTGAGAGAGACGGGGTGGTTTGTTGCTGTTGGTCCTGGTTTGTTAAGTACTCCTGCAAGAGGAAGAAACAAGAAATCAGATCTCCTGACAGTGAAGATCAAACTTGCCCCAAAGAGCTTGATGCCCCTAATCAACAGGAAGTAGTCTAACAATAGCATCACCCCTTTCCAACCCCTGGCTTTATTCAGGGATCTCTTTCCTTTCTTCTCTATCCTTTTTTCTCTCATAGCTAATTTGTTGGAGGGTGAAAGGGTGGATGAAAGAAGAACCCACAAAGTAGCAAAGGCCGGTCACATACTTCGCCTTATTATCTAAACTCTCTTCTCCCTCCTAACAGCGGGGGTCAGGGGGTGCTACAGGCAGGCCCCTCTCCTCCCTCACAGCAGCTGGGGGTGGGGGGTGGGAGGGACACTAAAGGCACTCCTCTCTCCTCACAGCAGCCAGGAAGAGGGCTGCAGGCAGGCCCCTCTCCTCCAGGTAAAATCAACTGGAACCGGAGTAGGAGAATTCTCAATTCTTAGAGCAACCTAAAATTTCCCAGGAAGGCAAGTAACTGAAATGAAATTAGGTCTTATCCTCTAGAAACATGGTCAGGTTGGGAAGATGAGGCATAACTGTGAAGTGTTGGTTTTTGAAATATGCATAGAGTTTTTCGTGGAGTTTGATATTTGTTTTGTTTCATTTAAGATGGGCTCTCCCTAAATATCCCAGACACATGCTTATCAGACCTTCACTGGATGTGAAAACTAACTGAAGCTATAAAAGACCTTCCCACCAGTCAGGCAGGCTGGGTAACATCACAGGTCAGGGCCATGAGATGCCAAGGACATTTGCAGACAAGTGTAGCACACAGAAAACCTGGACAGATAAACCCAGAATGTGCAAATCTGAAGTACATGACTAAGTAAAGGAAGTCAAGAGAGGTGGCCTGAGCCCTCCAAGCAGAGAGGGGACAGAAAGCTGTCAGAACCTCAGCAGAGTGAGCTGTCACAGCAGGTGCACAGAAGCCAAGAGAGTCTCCTGTGAAAGGTCCCCTCCTCTATGCAGCAAGGACACTGGAGAACAAAGGACTCAGAACCGTAGGAGTGGGGCAGAAAATAGACTTTTCTACTAAAAAACCACAGGCTCCAAGAGAAGGCCTGGAAGGAACTGCAAAGTCCGTGGTATCCATGCCAAGCTTGGAACCAATTCTGTGCCTTGGCTCAGGCCTATATGGTATGTCTGAATTTCTCTTGAAGAAAAGGTCAAAAGATATGTGTTCTAAACCAAGTGCAAAAGTCAAGGTGACCCAACAAGTATGTCAGGGGTCAGGATCAGGACAGCCCACAATCCAGGAAGAAGTCCTAGGATAGTGCAGTGAGGGAATGTGAGAAACGAGCCCTAGACTCTGGTTGTATACCTCTGACTCCCTTACCTTCCCTCCAGATCTTCCATCATGGGATCTCCTGAAAACAGTCTAAAATCAAACCATAAGTCAGATAGGAAAGAGACAGAGAAGAGCTTGGGCCTGCGGTACTATTGACCACCAGCAGACATGAGAATAATAGCAACGAATTAGCTGCCTACACACACTCACACACTCTTCGAACTCCAGGGAGGGGGGGCTCCTAACCCTTGTGCCTCCCATTTTCTCATCTTCTAAACAGGCCAATAACAGGCCTCTGGGGTCGCTACATTAAGCAAATATAATGTACACAGATGAACACTACCACGAGCGGCTTGGCACAAAGTAAGCAGTATATCAGTGTTGTGCTATCATTATTCTGCTCCTATTCCTGCATATTA